ATATACCGAGAGTCGAGAGTCACTTGGGCCGAGGCGTTTTTGACTCGGCTGCGGCTCTGTACCGGCCAAACGAGCGAAAGCCCCTGCAGCAGAAGCAGCAGTCCCTTCACTCGACGAGGGACCAAAATTGTTTGCCGAGGCTGGCAGGGTTAAGAACACTTCAGCGAACTTCTGCCGACTAAGAATATTCGGTACGTGTATATAGAGAGAGCGAGAAGAGGGAAGAGAGGAGCTGCGCTGGCGTACGGCGCAGCCGAGCTTTCGACTGCTGACGACGTTATTGCCAGCGACATTGATGAAAGTTCGCAGTCTTCATCTTCTCAATGAGTGCCCTCGCTCAACCCTATGCCTACTAATCAACCTGATGTATTTCTCTTCTATTTAGCGGATCAAATTGATTATCTTTTCATTTTTAAATTACTCGCAACATCTCTTTTGCTGCGAGTTATGTATATCTTTATAAAATCAGAGAATCTCTTAGCTAAGGAAGCTAATCAATGATTGAATGACTTTCAATCATTATAATATATTAATAGACTGTACGAGTGGACTCGTGTAAATTATCATACAATTTCTATTCCATTGAGCGCATGACTTTTAGAAGCCATAGAGAAGCCTTTGGAAATTCTCAATCTCCGACGCGGCTGGCTGCACCGTTTCCAAAATTACTGCAGCGAGAATAATGTGTAAGAAGGCATCGGAAGTCACAGAGACAGATGCAAGTGACATCAATTTATGTAGGTGTAAGGGCGAGTATGTGTGCGACTCGACTCTCTCTCTTTCTCTACGTGTGTGTGTTTAAAGGAGACGGTGAGCCAGCTGAGTTCATTTAATCCACTCTCGAGCTCCGTCCGGCAGGATGAATTTCAGAGAGGGAGAGAGAGAGAGCAATCTAGAGTTAAAATCTCGCCTTGGCAGCGAGTGTATCCAAGATATAGTTATATGCCGAGCGCGTAGAGGCGAATATATACGTGCGAGTCGAGGGCGCGATGCGATGGAAAATGACGTGCAGCCCGACGGGAAGGTTGGGCGTTGCTCGGTGCGCCTCTCTCACTCGCTCTCTCTCTCTCTCTCTCTCGGCTGCATAACAGAGTCTTTTACCACGTGATAATGGCGAGCCCTGCTTCTCTTTCTCAGTTTCCTTTGCATCCTCCTTCTGACTCTCTTTCTCTCACTCTCTCTCTCTCTCTCTCTCTCTCTCTCTCTCTCTCTCTCTCTTGTCGCGCGCAGCTACAACTTTTTAATGAGATGCGTGTGTCGCGCGAAAATTTTCCGAGACGCTTACTTCTTAGCTGGAGGGGCTCGCTCGTACGCTCGCGTAGCTCTATACGCAGTAGCTCTCCTATATACACGCAGTAGCTCTCTCGCTGGCGGATTATCAGGGCGTTGAAATCCGTCTTAAATATCGCCTAGATGCGTGTATGCAGAGGACGTATCACGAAGTAAATGCACGCCCGCTGCACCGCCGTCGCCGTCGCTACCTACCGTTTCTCGCAGGCTCGGAGCCTCGGAGCAACTTTTCTTTTTACGCTGAGCACGCAGAGACGCGCTCGGAGCCCACCTAATGGCGAAATTAGTTGGCTTTTACGAGCTGTGAGCTTGTAATTAGTATCTCGCCACTGTCGTTGTACTCGTCGTCGTCGTTCAGGACAAATGGCTCAGACGAGCCGTATATGCTTTTCATCCCTTCTTGCGAGATCCGGCTAAGCATGACTAACTTCTTGCACTCTACTTGTGTCACCGAGTAACATCTCCTAATGGACAATCTTATCTATATTATGATAATCTCTCGCTTATTCCGGCTGTAATTTTATACTTTTGTCAATTTCGACTGGATCGATAAACATCGTTGCAACGTATAACTGTTAGTCTATATTTCAGCTCGATCGATTCTAACAAATTACATTTCAACATATTTATTTGTATTGAAAGAACTTGAAAAAGCTTTCGTGAGTGACATTTCAAAGACGACGTTTTGAAAATCAATCTGCCATAAGACTTCTTTGAATGTAAGTAACATACAAGCTGCTTTTAAATGTATTAGTTTTTAATGAAAGAGGTTATTACATTCTTCGACAATGTAAAAGTATTTTAATAGGACAGTTCAGCAAGAAAATCGACTAACATTAAGTGGGATATAAATGACTTCATTTTTTATGCCAAAGCTGTTGAAGTTACTCAGCTCACGGTGTAAGTTGAGAAAATCAAAAGTTACTTGAGGTGACAATTTAAAAGTTTATCGGAGCCCCGAAACACTTTCACAGGTGATATAATTTTTTTTCTTTTTTTTTTTTTACAATCAATCCTGTTTTATTTGATCGCGTAAAAGCAACAAACTGTTAAAACGTTCCAAGCACGGCATAAAAAGAATTCGATAGTCACTTGAAAAAGCAAGCCAACGTTCAAATTTAAAGTTAAGATGTATCACAAACAAACCATTACATTCTCAAATATTCAGCGTTTAATGTAAGTTTCGAAAAACCATTTCCAAAGTTTTGTCATGCCTAATTTAAAATTCTTAATTTCATTCAACTTATTTTATAGATTAAAAAAATGCCTTTAATGAGAAAATTATATCGATTTTCAAAATATTTGTACTTTATGAGTAATCGTGTATACTGCGCATGAACGAATCGAATATTTAAGAAAAATACTATTCGTTCCACGATTCGTGATGTTTTCTTTTTATAATATAAGCTTGGTTGAGCAGCATCTGGTGCTCTGCGCTATTGCAGGAAAAATGATTCATTGTACCGTGATAAACTTTTGTGAAGACAATGCAACAGTATCTACTATCTGATTTTTAAGCAACTTTTCTTTCATTTAACCATGAAACTTTAGAAACTTTTATGTTAAGGAATCGCGCTTTTTTATTGTTATTTTTTGTAAACTTACACTGTCCGTAAGCAGGGATTTTAAAGATGGTAAATCTTTTGAAAAGTATCTTTCTTGAGCAAGTCTCTGCATTTTATTCTGTGTTTCGAATGAAAGAAAGAATAGCCGGACTTTTCAAATGATCAAGAAAACTTGAAAAAATAGTTTCACATTTCAATCAATATTTCCATACCTACAAACTATTATGTTTGTCTTTGTCTCCGAAAATTTTAGTAAACCGAGTACGGGAAATACGATTTTTAAAAAACTAATTTGAATAAAAACTGTATGTTCTTAACAATATGTGAGATTTAAAAAAGCTGATGATAATTTGGAATAAGAAAGAGATTTTTTCGTTTATGTTGCTCATTCTTCTGAACTGAGAAATTGTTGTCAACATTCTTCCTCTTTCTATTGTAAAACTATCTTCAATTGTTGTTGTGGATTATATTAAACAGTGAAATAAATAGCGGAATGTCCTTTTCATCTTACGTCCAAAACATAATTTTGCTTTATTAAAGTAGCTCTTTTTTATACTTTTCAAGTTTTTTTCTTTACAATGAAAACTTATAAACAATTTTAATAACCCCTTTTCATACGTTCAAAATTTGTGAATAAGTTACATAAATTTTCACGACTCAGAACTCGAATTTTAAATTTACACATCCATTGAGTGATACATTCGCTATAATATAGTATAAAGTATACAATTTTTTCATGTAAATATATTTACACGGTAAAATAAAATTCAATGGCTCTAATAGTCCAAAAATTGCTCTCATTTATCGGCCGTAATACCAAATGTAGATTTTAAAAAAGCTGATTTCAAGAGAAATTTTCGGCAGTTTTGTACATGTCGGAACGTCATGCTTTTTACAAGCTTACTAGCCCATTCAGTTTACATTCATGTATACTTCATTCCAATCAACCAAGTGCTTTTATTTTTAAACAAAGGGCCTATTCATTGACTAATTCAATCTGTTTGTTCATAACAAATAGTTGATAAAAAAATAAAGGAAATTCGATTCAAAAGTTAATTCGCAATAGATCAAGGAGTGAGAAAACAAAATATTATTCAACAACAGTCACTTTATATCAACTCCGTTCGACTATATCGCGCATATAGAGCTAAAGATTATCTCCAAGTGAAAATCCGAAGGTAAAGTGATTTGTTGTTGTACTTGAGGTCGACACACACAGTAAAGCAAACAAAGCAAGCCAAGTTTAGTTTTAGAAGATACATGGGAGGCAGGCATTGACGTGCTCGCAGTATTACTTAGTGGGCCATAGGGTGAAAAGCGTGAACACTGTCAACGCCCGTACGTCTATGACAATGCCGCTTAGGAGAATCTAGTACATCATGAGTTTATCGGATATTACGTTGACAATTATATGTTAACGGTCTCTCTATTATAAAATCAACAATTTTGCTTCTTTTCAACAACTGCTTTGTATACGAGTCGTATAAATTGAAAATTTCATTTTTTATATTGTTGTAAATTTTATTTCAAATAAAACCAATTGGTAAATTCGTATAACTATATTGGTTATCGATATTTTGCGAATTCGCTGCACTTTAGCGCAAATAAATTTTTGCTTGCGACATAAAATTAGAGGAGTAAATGCCATTTCAAGCGGAAGCGTGCTGCGTTGCTCTAAACGGGTCCGAAGGGAAATTAACATTTTCCAAAATTATTCGACTGAAGTTCAATAGGATTCCGACTGCGCGTATCAGTTGCGCTGTGTGTGCATGCCTGCAATGGGGGCGATAGACGATTTCCCGACGTCTCTTTTCGTAATGGAAAACACAGAGTTATAAAGTAACTTTAATTGATCTGAAGTTATTACGAAAGACTGATTGCTAATTTAAATCATATAAATTCAATTGAAGTAAGTCGATTATGATAATTGTTCTAATACTCAGATCATACGGTAGTAAGTGTAAAATTACATTTACGGACCAGCTGTGGTCACTTTGATAAAGAACAATGCTTTATATACTCCGTATTTTATATCGAATACAAAAAAATCGAAATGGACGAGAAAAATTCGATAGACAATTTATGGAAATTAAAGTAGAGACAGAGAGAGAGAGAGAGAGAGTCAAAATATGTCTTATCACTGACCTGTTTGGTGAGTTGGGCTTCAAGACTGACGTTGTTGCGCTCGACGAAATCGACGCCTCTGGGGTGGCTGACATTCGTTAATTTGATGCGACACTCGAATCTCGTGCGATCTGGAACACAATGGGAGTCACAACAAATAGACAACACGCGTAGGTGGAGGTCGATTGGGGGGACAGCTCGTGAAAAAGTGCGGACAACTGTATATTGTGCGGCAGTGCAGTAGAGGCCAGTGGAGCTGGGACCGATTCGAGAAAACAAAAGCCCCGAAGCTGCACTTGGTTTTTGATGGCCGAGCCTCGACTGCAAATCACCCGGACTATGCCGAGTGCATCTCGACTTTTTTGCCTTATGTATACCAACTCCACTGCCACAGCTGCCGCCGCCTCCGACGCTACCAGTGCAAATTCAGACGTATCGCTGGACGATCGACTCGATCAATATTTAAGCTCACCTGTGTCGACGTGGCTCGGCTCTTTGCACTGGCACGGCTGCTGCTGAGCTTGATCCCTCGAGATTGGGCACTGGTAGATGCAGTTTGCCGCCGAGTTGCAGCCTTTACCTGTATAAGTAAAAGTTTCAACTTCAAAAAGTAAAAGATACAGAGCAAAAAAACAAAAGCCGAGTCTATTATGCATGTACAAAAGATAAAACTGGTAGGATTTTTAAAATGCAAGATTACTCTAAGACTCTATTTCTACTGACTTCGCATGTTTCGATATCAATCATACACTACATGAAATTTTAAAATTTCCATGATGTTTTGCAGATACAAAGGCCAGCTTTTATGTAGGCGGACAATGAAACCCGATGATATAGGTAATACGATTAGTTTCCGATAGCATGTAATGCTATTATCTCCGGGCGGTCGATATTTCGTTATTTTTTTCGACTTTCTATACATTATCGATAGAACACTATTGGAATTGCGCTCTTTATACTACTATGCACGTATTCAAGACCATTTACATCGCTGTAAATAAAAAGCTTACATTTTCGAGGTCATTAAAATTCTGCAGAATTGATAAAATATCGTAAATCTAAAAATTAAATTTATTTTTAAAAGCACCGTGTTTGGTCGTTTAAAGTAAAAAATATTTTAATAAAAAACAAATATTAAATCGCTTTGTTATTCAAGTTGCTTCAGATTTCCACCTGATAAAAAGAATTCATTTGCAAGTTTTTTTGTGAGTCAAGACTCAAACACGTTCGTATTGATCGTAAATACTTGCTCGGGTGGAGATCAAATTCGCTACTTGGATAGAGAAAATAACATAGTTTCCAAAACGAGCAGCAAAAAACGAGCACCAGTCCGATTAATGGAATTTAATTTATTTCTCTTTTGTGCATAGCTAGACATGTGTTGCACGATTGTGAAAAGGATGTTAGGGTAATGCGATTGAATTAAGTCTGTACCTTCATTGCCAGCGACGGCTGATGATATCTCGCAAAAGTCTCCACTGAACTGCGGTGGGCACGAGCACCGAACTGCAGCTGCTCCTACGTGTCTGAAATGCGTCGGAATAACCACAGAAACTATTGTGTTCGCTCCATTCGTAAACAAAATGATAATAAAAGTGGAAAATTTGCAAATTATCTGAAGTAGAGCAACCGAAATAAAGAATGCGAATTCAAACATTCAACACTCGGTGAATAAAAGATCTCACTTGGCACGAAAGTTTTAGCCTTCTCTCCGTAACGGCTGGCCATAATTAATTTGTACTACTTAAAATCCGCGGGGAACATTTTTCATCTTCTGTACCCGAGTATCTGGCATGAAAGCAGACCAAAATCGAGGTTTATCGTAAGAAACGATATCAGTATTAAAGAAATTTACCTAAAAATAAAATCGACTTGCACATTTTTAAATGTGTTAATTAGAGAAATTTGAATTTTTCGAATCAAAATTCACGCGTTGGATCAGATTTTACTTCTATGCAAACAAAGTTTTCAGTTGCCAACTAAAATTTGTAATAATTAATTCAAAAATTGAGTTGAACTGGAAGCTAGAGCAATTAGAAAATTCGTAAAATTATGAAAATTCTTTAATTAAATTCATCAAAGTTCTACGAATCGTATGGTAAAATGAGATGCTCATCTTATTAAAGCGTCGACTATCTTTCAAGTGAACTTTTCACGCGTCAAGAAAAATAAATTTGGAACATTAATACTATTTTGGGGGGTAAAATGTTGAGATTTTTGCGATACAGCTCGGGGTCCTTTAAAGCGCGTCGGTAATGCAACGGTCGATTGAAAGTGATGAGTTATATGGGCCGGGACATAGATTGATTGTCTTATATACACAATTGGATATACCTGCAAGTGCCGCCATTCTGGCATATTGGATTTCCGCGTTCAGTAACGCAAAGTGGTCCGTGGCTGCAGTGCTCGCCCCCGAAGCCCTCGAAGCAATCACAGTAAAACGTCCTAATGAAAAGGAATGGACAATCGTTAGTGTTTCAAACATTTTATTAATACATCGTTATGGGTAAGTTATGAGCCGAGAATATTCTGTACACCGAGGCCAATGAGTCGTTGTCTGGGCCATCGTTCATTTTTTTTTTCATTCTTCGCTGAGGTATAATTTAAAACTTAGGCGCGCGCAGCAATATCGCGCAGTGGCTCTAAATCAATATATTCTATGATTCGATGAAACTAAAATGATATTACAATATTTCAAACCGTAATTTAACAAGATTTTAAGTGCCAAACAAAAGCGTACGTAAATCTTGAACTCAGCTTATTTTTTATCGGATGTACGTACCACAAAGGCTTGCGAGAGTGAATAGTGGTATGCAAAGCCTCACTCGAAATGAAAATAGCACGGAAGAAAAGATATGTCATTTATACATGTAAGGTAGAAGACCTACGACTTTGCGGATAATATACTTTATACGTTTTGGAGACGTACCAAACAGCACGTTTTTTCCTTGGGAAAAAAATATGATGGAAGCGTATGCGTCGGAGGAAGCATAAATAGCGCATAAACTTGTACGTTAGTTGCGGGTATTGCTTTTACATTTTTCATCCCTTTTTCGTTGCATAAAACCCTTGCGCGCAAAATTAAAGCAAATACGATTTGTAATTTCGGAAAAATTGATCCCAGCAAAATTGAGTTTAAAAATTAACCAGGAGAACGATTGTAAAAATTCAAAATATCGAGAAACGTGATTATTTCACATGTGATTTTGCTTTCAACTTCGACTCGCGCACTCACATTCAGGTATGTTATTCAATTTCGAGACTGAATCGTACGCTGAATAAATTGTTTCAAATATAACGGATTGCGTAGTATGCGCTACTGTGGTTGTAAGCCACGTTGATCCGTTTAAGTCAACGAAGCTTCGAAGTTATTCTGGTAATTGTAAAAACATACTCGGTATTTCGGGAAAAGCTAATTAATAATGATAACTTTACACAAATAATTGTATACGTTAAACATACATGGTTTAATTTGGTGTTAAATTCACTCGAGCACTCGTTGCTAGCATTGAGGTTTCAATTTCATACGTCGGTATAAATCTCAGCAAGTCCAATATACAGCTCAGTAATTTTAATGATGATTAAATTCTATTACTCATTGTTAATATTTATGTCATTAGCGAATTATCGAACTCGGAACACGAACGTAATTTTTCTTCGGAGGCAGCGTGAATTACTAGGAGTAAACGGAGTGACACGAGCCACAAAGTAAATACACGCGCGCGGAGAATGAGAAATATGTTCGAGGCAACAAAGTAGGAGAGTAGTTGTCAATTATTGAAAATGAAATTCATTAAAATAAACACGAAGTTTGGGGGGCGAACACGAGGTCTTGACACGCTCGGTGCACTAAGCAAATACTTGAGAAAGCGTTTCAACGTATCATGCGTCGCGCTAAAAGATCGTTAACGTGCCGTACACCAACTTTCCTTTTTCTCCCAGGCAGCTCTCGGGCGTCGAATGAGCGATTTAATGCGCAGTCACGAGTTTATCTCGACACTTGGCCGTGGTAGCGTGAGCTTGAATTTTGCGGCTCGAGCTTTTAAGGCTTGTTTTTTTTTCTCTCTCGCTCCTGCCAGTGCCGTGTCGAGGCTGCGTACACTATGAATGCGCAAACGAACAAGACCTTTGCGCCATTACTTTCCGTAACGAATTAAATCCTTTCTTCGTGCGGCTACTTTGACGCGCCGTTTTTCTCCGCGAGCGAACACTTTTGCGCCTTTCGACGAGCTACACCCCTACTTTGCACCCCTTTGCAGTTGGATCAATTTTTTCAGCATCCACGGAAAATATGAAATTCTAAACGATTGCCAATTGGACTTTAATACATTCTCCATTATTTCGGTATTCGTTTATGTATTTGAACGAGGTGTTTTACCACTAATTAGTAAGCTTTTCCAACGAGATAACTCGAAGAGAAAACTTCGATTGATGATATTAATTAATTGTAATTAAGTTCGCTCGATTCAACTTCATGAAATTTCCGATATTTAATGAAAGAACACGAGTTTTTATAGTTCTATTCATTCCGAAAAGAATCTTGCTCCAAAATTATTTCTATCTGCTTTTTTGATCGTATATTATAAACTTATTCACTCAAAGTACGTCAGTATAGTCAAAGTAATCGCTATTAAAATATGAGTTTCAATTGAAAAATAACTTTAATATTGTTAAGTATTTAAGGCTTATGTATTATTACACGAATTAAGCATACGATTTGTACTTCTAAGCATAATCGGATTTGAAACTTTCTTCCTTTTGTAAGGCATTACATGAATTGTATCTATCTTTAATACCCCGAAAAAATGATGATATATAAAGTAATATTTTTTATAATAATAGTCAATCTTGTTAAACAAATCTAGTTGTTTTTAATCTAAACAAAAATATAAAAGTAGGCTTGCACGAATTAAAGCGATCAACTACTTTTCACAACTTTTTCAATATCTATTCGAATAAAAAAATTTTAATATGACATATTTAACAATGTATTATTAAATAATAAAATGTTCGCATTCAAATAGCTAGTTTTTTCAAGTTTATACATACATAATTGACATTATGAAGAACTCTAAAGAGGAGCTTTAAGTAACAATTAAGGAAGATACACGCTTTACAAATTGATTGATGATAATACCATTGTAGAAATCCTCTACATTTTATGACTATGTAATTTTCCACTTTTTTATTATGAACATTTTTTGGCGATATTAATTATAATTTTTTACAAATCAAATGTAAAATGTCAATTAAATTGAGCTAAAAACTTTGAATTTTATAATATCACCGCGTTAATGCTTGTACTTAAAAATGAGTCCAATTACGTCGCTTTTATAACTGACAATATTATTGATTTCTAAAAATCTGCTTTAAAGTTCAAACGTTTTTTATAGGTTCTATAAATAACCTAGAGTGTTTAACTTGTGGCCTATAAAATTTCTTTTTACGTTTGTGCTTTATAAGAGACTTTACTATATACTAGGTGTACTTTAATTCTTTCCTATGGAACCGGAAATTTGAACGTGCATATAAACTTTAATTGAACGGCTTAAGAATATTTTAATTTGATGATAAAATTATTCGAAAATCGATTTTTCATGTGCTATTAATCATTAAACGACGAATTCCGATGATTCTGAATTAAAAGTAGAAACTGTGAAATTGCATTCTTTGATAATAATTCATGAAAATGATACTGGTGCAGATAGGAACAGTGGAAAAAGTAATATTTTCGTTGGCTTTCAGTATCTTGAAAAAAACATATTCCGCAAAAATAACAAATGTTATAACTGGCGGGAAAAAACTTTCATTCATTCTTGTATATCAATGGACAATCAAAGTGTGAGTGAACAAAACCCAATTTAGTGAAACGGTAAATTACAGTTATCGGTATCTAAAATCAGCATCTATTGTCTGCTCGATTTCACGACTTTATCTTCGCGCCGGCTTTCAGCGGCTGATTTATCGAGCCAGCAACGGGTATTTTTCGCTAAGGATCGATGAATTTAATGAAGTTTTGGAAAATAAATGTAAAGGCCGGGCGCGTCGAACGAGCTCCGTTATCGTGGCGCAACATGTTTGCCCAGGTATCAAAACACACGGCGCGAAAGTGCTCCGCGATGCGAAAGAAATATTTTTCGACAAAAATATCTATAAAGGCTCGCTTGTCAGGAGTCAAACGTCAAAAGTCTAAATTAAATATTGAACGGTCGCGCAGCGCAGTCGGGCCGCAGGACCACATGCACGGCCGCACACGCGCGATCGAGGACGACGCCGCATGCAAGTGCAGCAGCAATATTCGTCGGGCGAGCGCGAGGCGTAAACAGCGCGCTCGGAAGCCATGCTTATTGGGATTATCCACAAATTTGATCAGTCGATGAATTCTCATTAATTTGCGTTGCAGCGTCGCTTGTGCGTCGCGCCCCCGGTACACGCGTACACGCACACACACACGCACAGGGGGGGGGGGGGCATAAAATCAATCTACCCTTGGTCGTGCGATAATGGCCAAAGACCGTGAGCAATTATAAAGGCCGCACGGAGCGCGTGGCTTTGGTCCGTGCCACCCAAAAACGAAAAACCAAAAAAAAAAAAACGAGGAAAAAACGAGGTAATCGAGCGAGGAATTTTCATAAGCACGTCGCTTCGCTGCCGAGGCTTTACCAGGCCGCACACAAACACAGAGTACTCTGCGTATCGCGTTAACTCGTTCCATAGAAAATAAGTCAGGAAAATATTTCTCTACGCCGCGTTCGCGCGCAGACTTTACATAAACTTGCACGTGTATAATACGTATACATAGCAATGGGACACACACAGGCACAAAACCAGTGCACCGAGCCAGCAGCAGCAGCAGCCCGCCGTGTTACATTATACACATAGCCGCGCGACGACTGCGGCGGCGACCAAGATGAACAGTCGCTAATGCGCTTTTGCTCACCCTTGCGAAAATAAAGCTAAAACACGTATGGCTGTGTGTGTGTGTGTGCGGGCCCACGACTCGCCTAGTTGGACTCGCTATATAACGTACGTGCGAGGCGCATATAATATATCCCCCCTGACAAAATAAAAGCGAGCTGCAGTGTGCACACGAGCTTTTTTCCTCGGCTCCTCTCTCTACTGCAGCTCGAGCTGCTGCTGCTGCTTCTAGCTGCTGGTGTTGCCTAGCGCACGGCTGGTGTACCTATTGGAGCAACGGCGGCGCATCGCGCACAGCTAAGCGCTTTTCAGTTCTCTCTCTCCCTCTCTCTCGTCCGTTTTCTACTTTTCTTCTATTACTTGGCCCAGCTGTCGCGCAACAAAGCTTCGGAGCTGTGAATGGAGAAAAATCTGCTTGCAGCAGCGAAAAAAATAAATAAAAACAAGGCCGCGCGCAGGCGAGTAAGTACGTTGCCAGCCAAGTGCTAGAAAAAGCTCCGCAGCTACGACTTGCAGCGAGTCCTGAAAATGTATACATCGCTGCTGCTGCTATATACGCGTATATAGCCTCGAGAGCTCGAGAGCAAGAAAACAGACTCTTAGTCTATCAAACCAAAGATGCTTCCCCGTGTACTTACGTGTGTATATATACAGTATGTAGTAGGTGCTCCCGTGCGCGCACGTACACTATCGCATATCGCAGCAAACACTACGCGCGCCCGAGTATAAGTTTCTCGCTTGCCGCTCTATGCTTCTGGGTGTGCAGCTCGGCGTACACTTACCTAGCCTAGATCCGCGCGCGAGCACAAAAACGAGAGAAAGGTCTAGAGTCATCTAAAAGAAATGTTATCCTGCATAAATGCAGCGGCAGCAGCAGCGGTGGCGAGAATATACAAACGAACGTAAGGAAAAAGTCGAGCCGCGGCTCTGCGTCGCAATGTTGCTTTCTGTATGAGTATACGGAGGCATGATGAAACTTTCGTCATAGAGGAGAGAGACACACGCGCGCGCGTCGAGCTAACAAGCTTTGCTTAATTCATTGAAAATTAAACGGCATGTTTTTGTGTTACTTTAACTTTCTTCAACTCGCGCCAACTGTCTCGCGTCGCGCGTAAAAACGCCGCACAGAGATGCGTACGCGTATTTATTCTAATTTTGCCGCGGAAAGCTGCGACTTTTCTGAAACGCGAGAAGCGCGCGGGATGCTCGTTATAAATGAAAAAAATTATTTCAATTCTACCGACGCGCGTTGACGAACATTTTGTCAGTGCGAGCGCGCGTGGACGCGTTTCGCGACCCAAAGCTCGGGCTCGATATTTCATCCAGCGTTAAAAAAAAAAAAAAAGAAGGGAAGAAAATTCACCCTGAGCATTACGAAAGTTCTACACTTTCCAAAGAAATGCAATTCCCCTCTTGCCGAGGAAGAAAAAAAATGTTTTATGAGTCGTATGAATATTGCTCTTGGCTCGGTAACAATTGCACTTACTTGAGCGAGGAGCAACAGTTTTATACGCTACAATAGATTGTTTTTATCAGTCGTTCCGCACTCACTGAAATGCACCGCGAGTCGCTGAGCTTACCGTTACACACTTCTCTCTCGCAGTAATTATGCAAATTCAAGAAGTGCCCGACTCGAGTAAATATAATGCCTTAAAAACGAAAGCCGAATCGTTCGGAGGCCGCAGACGTAAAAGTTATTAGGCGCAGCTAAAATTACGGAAACAAGGTCGAATAGGTGACTAAATTAGGAGTGCACTGTAAATAAATAAAGATGTGTACTTACGCTCTGTCGGAGGCCAGAAAGCAGTTGCCCGTGAAGGAGCAATTGCTGAGCGTGCAGGACTCCTTGGGCGCTATGTCGTCGGTCATCTCGTAGGTGAGATTGAAGCCGTAGACGTCGAGCAGTCGATCGAGGACCCGCACGTGATTGCCCTCAAGCCGCTCGAGGCGAAAGTCCACGAGGAGGTAGGGCCGGTAGGTGCGCACCGTGCCGATCTCGAAGACGCCGGCCTCGTCGATCTCGCGCAGCAGCGCGCCCCCGAAGTTGGTCGCCTCGTTCTCGTAGTAGGCGTACTCGTGGAAGCGCAGGCCCCGAAAGGCGTAGAGCTGCGTGAGGTAGACGACGATCGAGGCGTTGGGCCGGTCGGCCAGGTCCGAGGCGTCGAGCAGCCAGCGGCACTGGATCGGCGTCGAGAACTGGCCCGGGAAGTTGGGCGTCGACAGGACTCCGCGTCGAGCCGTGAGGTGGCCCCCGCACGATTCGCCGCCGCCGACGTTGTCGCTCGTTGTCGTCGTCGTCGTCTGTGTCTCGCTCTGGCTCGACGCCGCCGTAGCCTCGGGCCGCTGGAGCAGCAGCAGCAGCAGCGACATCGTCATCGAGACAAGCAGCCGTTCCCGTGCGCTGGCTCTGCAGCCAACCAACTGTGCGCGCGGTCGTAAATCAAACCGAGCGAGGAGATTTATTATTAATTTTTTTTCCAAGCGAACAGTTTTCAAAGTTACGTTTCAAACATTTTCACCCACTGATACAGCAGCGAGAGAAAAAAAAAGAGAGCTGCGAAGATGGAATTTTCCGAGCCGCAAGCTCGTGTGTGTTGGTTGGGGGAACATATACACGCATTGTATTGCTCGACTCGAGCGCGGATGGGCTTACGACTTACTCTCGCGTTTTACGTTCGCGTTACTTCCGCTCTTTATGTTAATACATATTCAGATCGAACTCGCGTCGTTCGGGAGTCGGGCCGCAGAGTTCGTTGATTCTCCGGTTAAGAGCTTGCGCGCATAAAGTTCGTCGCTCGTTGTCGCGGTTGGGTACACGACGACGTGTAAACATTGTTTTGGCGCGCAATCCGTCAAGTCGCAGACGTAGTAGCATTGAGCGAGCGCCAAAACGGCGGTCGGTCAATCTTTTATTTACGAAAGAATTGATACACGTGGCAGGGAATGTTGCTGGGCGGGGCTTCCTCCCTTGTAGCTCCGACTCTCCGATAGCGTAATCACACTGGGGATTTGCGTATAGTTGCACGATGCACATATATAGTTGCTGCGCTGTAGCGTCGCTGCTGAGTTCACGTGAACGCGAACGTTGGACGAATAATCCCGTGGACTTTTCGACGGCAGATATCAAAATAATAAAGCTCGGATATGTCAGTTATTCGTTATTGGTACTGTTGTTGTAACGATGCACTCCAGCTTCTATCTCGCGAGGTCCTAATTATTGCTTTGGGGTCATTAAAATAGGCGATGCTCGAACGAGAAAGATGAAAGGTTAATCGCTCGATGAAATTGTACGAGCGTACAATTTTGATTAGAGTAAATGATAATGCAAAGCCGATTTCAAATGCGTCGCGCATCGGTAGCGTGCAAAGAATGCGCGCGACGAGCAAATTTAGAGAAAAAATAGCTAGAGTATTCGTCGCGGACAGGGAGGGTATATATAGGGAAGCAGGCGTGCGTGTGCTGGTATGAAAAACGGCTGAGCTGATTAAAATGGGCAAACAGAAATTACGAGAAACTGAGTCATTGTCAGAAACAAACCAACAACGATAAACCAGTGGCACAAAGCTTGCCATTCTCTCTCTCTCTCTCTCGCTGCAGCTCTTTCTCTCTTTCTCTCTCTCACTCGGGTACATCTCTATACATATAAATAAATATATAGCCGCGTCGGTGCTGTGTGCGTGTATTTCCCCTCTCTCTTAAGCGCAGTCGGGCTTAACAAAGCCAGCGTTTACATGGCACGTTATTCCAATTGCATGCCTGCGCTCACGCGCGTACCGTATACACTTCTCTCTCTCTCTCTATCCAGCATGTTTTGTATATAAGCGAGGTAGAGGTGTGCACTAGGGCTTTGTTGTTGCTCTGAAATCTAAAACGGTGGGCCGCCTGCAGAAGAGTCCTAGGCGACGCACGGGCACGAGTACTGCACGCACGACGGCGGCTGCTGCAACCGCCTCTCTCTCTCTCTCTCTCTCTGTGACCACCGGACGCCCGCTCGACGCTCGCAGACCTTTATCACGTAATATAATGTACATGCATATAGGCTAGGCGCGCGCGCGCGCGGCTGAATGCGCCCCGTTAACGTATAGATACTATATAATATTATATATAGGCGCCGTGTGTATGGTAGTGCGTGTCGTCGGCCCTTGTCTCCAGCTTCTTGCCAATTAATTCGATTTTTCTAACCTTGATTAATAATGCAATTATTTGCCGCTTGCTACGTCCGCTGCGCGTCGTATTCATATTTACGCGCCCATGTAGCTGCGTTATAGCACTCGCGCGCGCAAACACAGTATAGTATATATATAGGCTGCAGCAGGTAAAGCTCGAGCACATCCGTGTGCCCGCACACATCGATACACACGCTGCACAGGTATTTGTATTATAAGAGGGGTGATTAATATTATGCAAACGATGCGTGACTGCTTGACGAGCTCGTTACGAATCGCGATTATTCCGCAGGCGATGCGAGTACTACGAGCGCACCTCTATGTGTGTTGTGTATCGCACATATACACGCGCACACTAATCAAATTTATATATATAATAATGTATGAAGCTCTCGTGTGCCGAGCATTCATTTATGCATGTTAGTACAGGTCCTTGCTCGCACTTGTGCTACTGCTACCTATACGTATAGTACACGTATGTACGTGGCAGTGTTTATATGCAAACGCGTCTGAGCTTATTAAATTTTACACCTCGATTCCTTGAGTGAAATTAATCACTTGATCGGTTGCGCGCCCGATGTTTGCCCGCACACACACACACACTTCCTCTGTGCGTTGTGTATCCTTATATAAATTGTAGAGATACGCCCTGCCCCCCCCCCCCCTGCGGCTATACACTGCCTCGAAAAGCCTAAATGATTCGAATTCGCTGGATTAGACGCAATTATAGATTATACAGTGTGTACGTATGTATATTGGGCGCCCGTGACTTATCGTGCGCTCGCGCGTGCTGCGGTCGCGGCCCGCTGTACGCTACGCTAGATCTGTATTTCAAATCGAAATTATATTTCTGGCGATCGTCCTCGCTTTCGACAGTCGTCCCGCGTGACGCCGTGCAGCGCGCGAATAGCACAACATTATCATCTCTCTACGATCACGAGTACTTTCTATTTGTAATTTCAGATGATTGAAAGCTAGATCTCATATAATCTCAGGCAAATTATATTAATCAATGTTCGAAATTCATAAAAGCCGAATGTATTCTATCGGCGATAATATACCTACATTGGAAGTTGGAATATCGATTGCTTTTTGAACAACGAGTCGAACAATGCTTAAATCTTATTAAAGTTATTGGATTGTTTTCGAATGTTATTAAACACTTGAATACCCGATACATTTCTAAAAAGGCGTTCTATCGAATAAAATCATAATATGTATTATAAAATATGATAGATTTGATAATTCTCTTTACAAGTCAAATGATTTTTTACTCGAATTTTCCAAAAAATAAAAAAAAAAATGAAAATTGAAATGGGGAAACATTTTGCGCCTTTTAAAAAGTTACTAACCTGACGCAAATTCTCAACATAATAGCCAAATAGCCAAAAAAAAAAAAAAACATTCAAAATGTTTCTAAAAAATTACCATTAATCATCTTCTTTTTAGAGATCTTGCTGTTACAATTATATCCAAATAATTTAATCTGAAATTTTTTTTAATTGAAATATTTTAATTTAATCATGTTATTTCAAAAAATTGAGTTGAGTTTTCAACCACATTATATGTGAGTGGAAGTCAAAAGTAATGTACATATGTACTGCCATAGCATGCTGCATTTTAAGCATTGACCGCTAGATGGCGAGTTCATTTATCTGTAAATCTGCAAGTGGCAAAATCAAAATAAATGTATAAGTAAAATACTATAATTTACACATGTTTGTCTTATTTTTAATTGACATTTTTGCATATGAATTACTTTTTATATCATAATTATTACTTATTACGTTAATAGCTGCTACCTGGCTAAACCAATTAGTAATTGTATACTGCTCCACAACAAAGACATAGTATAAAACTAAAACTAAACAAACTATGATCATAAAAGATTGATAACATCGTAACATTTGCGGTTGTATGTCTAGTTCTATAACCTGTTCATGTTCAAGAAAATTTTTTGTTGGATTTTTTGTTCGAGCATCTCTACCAGGGTAACGATGATACAAACTATTTATAACGATGCCGAGCTACACATGAAAATAAATATCGTTACTCGAATCAGAAAGCGTATCGACGAGACCCTTGTTACAGTATAATGAGTGAGAAACTACCCAAAAAAAGGACAAGTAGTACGGCGGTCGGTCGAAAATCAATATTAATTGAGCTTGTAAGTGAGATATGTCGAGGTTTTGTAAGTAGCTGGAAAGTTGGCGTGACGGGGCGTGGCAGCAATAGCAGCAGCAGCAGCAGCAGCGGCAGTAGCAGCCGCGGTGGCTGTGCAGCAGTAGCGGCTGTAGCGGCAGCAGCACGTCCAGCCGCTATTCGAGAGAAATAAGCGGAAAGCGAGCTAGAGCGAAAGAATAGTGTGCGCGCGCGAGTACGGCTACATTGATATATTTCGCAGGTAAACGCGCGTGGACTACTCGAGCGTATTATACCGTGGCGTACAGACCGCGAGTATACGACGCCGGTGCCGAGTCGTCGTCGTCGTCGTTTCCCTCCCTTCCCCCGCAAGCTCCGCGCCTAGTAGTAGTAGTAGTAGTAGTACTGCCGCAGCAGTAGTGCAGCCCTGCGAATATTGTGTCAAGCGACAATTTATTCGCAAAAGGGAGTCATTTTTTTTCGCCGAGTTTTTCCTTGCGGAAGCCTGCCTGCCTACTTGCGTGCCTCCGCCGACGCTCCCGACACTCGGCATGTCGAGAGAAAATAGAGCTCTGCTCGCACGCACCATCCTAGTCGTCGTCGTTCTCCTCGTTCTTGTCGTTCTTCGTGACGTTTGCTTTTACAAGAAGCGAAGTTGGACGCCCCCTCCTCCTCTCTGGCTTTCCTTTTTCTTTCTCTCTCTTCCTCTCTCTCTCTCTTTCTCTTTCTTTCTCACTCAGTCACTCCTTGTTGCCGCGGCGCTGCGCGTTGAATTCGCCATGAAAAACTTTGTCGCTCTTATGTACTGCTGCAGCAGCCACTTGGAAGGTCAACAACGTTTTTAATTGAATTTTTTCGAATCATCCAGAGCTCGCGCGCACCCTTTTCGGTCACTTTATGAACAATTCCTATTTGAGTAAACGACGTCTTATTTTCTCGTAAACCAACACCACTCGTCGTGTTACAAAAAACGTAAATACTCGAAAACGTTCTCACTTTGAGTTTACTCTGACATAAGACCTAAAAAATCAGATCGAATTATTATTGTGCCGACGCTCGACA